GCAGGGAGAAGCTTCAGAGAAGCACACCATACTACATTCTGCTTTTGTACCCTGAAGGGAGATTGAACTGGGCTTTGTGTTTCGGGAGATTTTTTTTCTGGAGGAGTGGAGGGGTGAAAAACTTACCAGGAGGGGTAAGCAGACGTCAGCGTTAATTTTTGAGCACCAGTATGCAATGCTGTAAAAGCTGCTAACTTTCCCAAGTGCAGCTTCCAGGAACTGGAACACAACAAGCTATTAGTTGATTGGTGAGATTGTTAAAGGCCAGTATTAATGTGGGATAGCCAAGGGACTAGCGTCAGTTATACAGAGTGTTTTTTCCCACTGCCAGGTCTGCCAGGCCTTTCATTTAGTTTGTTTGAGGCAGGTGGGATTTTACTCATACTTTAACTAAGTAATTGTTAGAGCTGCTCTTTTTCCAAGTTTGATTTCCTCACTCTGAAGATGCCACTAAATCATTAAAACTCATCTGTGCTTCCAACTATACACAGCTGATGACAATGGATGTCCAGTAACTACTGCAGCTGAATGAATTTGCACTAATCTTGAATATAAGTAAGGCTGAAGGCAAGCAGCACTGCTCATCAGCCATGGGCATCGGAGGTATACCCCAAGTTTTAACAGCATTTTGAGGCCCTATATTTCTGGCCAGCCCAGGTCATGTTCCATCCTTCAAGACACTACAGAGGAGCTGCATGATCGCTACTTGTCACTTGCTACTTCCAGTCCTAATGTGGGGAAAATGCTACCTTTTGCGAATGGTATCAAAGACAGGCTAACTGCTGTGGTACAGCTTTCTGGCAAGGATTGGGGATAGAAAAGGAACTGTGATGACCAACGGAAGTCTTAATGAATTCGAAGAGCCCATGCAGGGTCTATCTGGTGCCAGGTGAATTTTGTTTTCTCTTGCACAGGAGCTCAGAACAAAGCTTGGAAGAACAGACTTAGCGGGGACATTGGGCAAACTGCTGCTCTAGGACAGCATGGGAGCAATCACAGAACCGGCGTGAACTCCAAGAAGGGCAAGGGAAAGTGGTGGTAGAAGTGGGAAGGAGGGAGAGGTGAGGGAAGGTGGAGAGAGGGGGAGCTCTTCTGCTCCTTTCCAGACAAGTTACTTTGCTTTTTTCTTCAGTAATCTTAGAGGTCTGTAAACTGGCAGGATGACTCAGCAGAAAGACTAGAGGGTCAGCAAGGGGCAGGAGGGAGTCTTCTTGTTTTTCCATAGGTTTTTATCCTGAACATTATTTTTTTTAACCAGAAGACCCATGGACAATGAAATGCAGCAGCACGATAAACATTTTCCTGCAGAGTGCTTAACTTTCCAGTCATGGGCGAGGAATTCCTGTGCAGCTGGGGAGAGCCCCACAGAGCAAAGCTGTGGATTTCCATTTGGAAAGAAACGAAACAGAAAACATTCGTCAGCAACACCCATTACTGTCAGGCCAAAGACAGAACAAGCATCACAGAGCCCTGTGCTGGAGCAGGTCACAAGCTGCCAGTCAGGTAAACATGGCCTTCTACAAGCAAGTGTCAAAGTGTTGACCAAGGAGGACAGCCATACACTAGGTCAAGGGTAAGCCCATTTGGAGGGATGTGCTACTGCTGGAAGGACAGCACAGCCTCTGTTAGAGGCAAAGTAGCAGCATCTAAACTGTACGTTATTAAGCAACTTACTTCTGCCCCCCATCTCTTATAATAACCTGCTGAGATAACAGGTTGCAGCATAAATCTCCCCTTGAGTCAGGGTGGAGAAGAGCATCCTAAAGCACAGATCCACAGGACACATTTCTGTGTCAAAGGCTAGGGGCTGGACTCCAACGAGGAAGAAGTAGTAAGAGAAATCTAGGGGGCTGGGACTGCCACTTACATTTGCTCGGTACCCAATGCAATGGGGCCTGGCCCAAATGCAGTCTTCTGGACACTAACTTGGTATAAACTTTAGAATTGCCATCAGAGAAGACAGTCAAATGGGAGATAGGACATTCAGCACCTCAGATGGTGGAATGCATTACTTACCTTCGCTGAGCCTACAGCTAACTTCCATGGTTGGATTCCACTCTCCATTCTCACAGGTCAGGAAGTTGTAACCTCCCTTCAGCATGTAGCCTTCATCACAGAAATACTCTATGACACTGTCAGTTATCAGAGGCTCTCTGCATGGAGTTGGGTGGCATTTGTAGCCTCCATTCTCAGGCTCTGGTGGCCGGGGACAAACTAAAGGAAAAGAAGAAAGGTGAGACGCCATCATTAAAATGCCACAGAAGACCTCAGTTATGCAACTGTTGCAAAAGTATTCTGAGAATCATGATGCACACTTCCACCACCGACTTCTGCAAAACACGAATTACTAGAAATGGGCAGAAAAGTGGCAATGTGAAAACAAAGGTTTGCTTCATAGGTTATAGTCCCAACAAATCTGATTCATTTGTTGAATGCCAACTTTTATTCTATTATTATTATTTAGTTACTAAGTGGAGGAAGTTTAAAATATAATCACCCAGACTACTCAATTTAAATATTTCCTTGATCACGCGGTCACTGGACCAGAGAAGGCAAACATTTCCAGTGACAAGACCCAATATCCTTGCCTTCATATTTTTTAAAGATACATCATCAGATGGGGGGAAAAAATCACTTTTGAATATAAATGTTTCTTATCTACATTGTTATCATCAACTTCAACAAATATTGAGAGGGCTGAAAGTCTTTCTTATATTTCCCTACATGCTTTTTCCATTTCTCCCATCACAGCCAATGGAAACAGACTATTCAACTTAATTTGTTTCTAGACAATGTCTCTGTCAGAGGCACTGGGTCACAAAGTTTGGTTTGCAAAATATTAACGAGCAGCATTAGCTTCTATCAAACACTTTAAAGACACATTGTGTAGGATTACTCCCACAGAGTTTTTTTTCCTCCTTTTCTTTTCTTTTTTAAAAGGAGGAGCAAATTTCAGGCCAAATGTGACCTGCAGATGAGGCCGTACAGAAAACCAAAAAAATTTTTTTATTTCCACACATTTCTGCCAGTACGTAGTAAATAACCATTCCACAAACCAAACAAAATCCCAGAGAACAAGGAAGTTGGTGTAAAAAACAGGATCTTCATTCATTCGGATTTTGTCTACGCTGGCAGTTCACTGTTATTGCTGGCAGGACAGAACCTGCCAGGTTAGATATGAGGGAAAACTCACGAGGATGGTAGTAAAGAACTGGAACAGGCTGCCTAGAGAGACTGTAAACTCTCCGTCCTAGAGGTTTTTAGGGCTTGGGTAGAAAAAGCCTTGGCTGGGATGATATGTCAGGATTGTCTTTGCTTTGAGCGGGGGGTTGGACTAGATGACCTCCTGAGGTCCCTTCCAACCCTAATTTTCTTTGATTCCAGGATTCCTCATTGAGAAGAGGGGAGAGGAAGAGGGAGTTTACAACTCAGAGAACAAAACTCAACACCAAATCCTAACAGTCCAAAGCTGAAGCACGTGGAAACTTCACAGAGAAGTTATGAAGTACAGAGGGAGAAGAAACTCTCACCTTGTGTCCCCACCCTGTCCAACAGCCTGCTCCACAGACACTACTATAAAGCCTTAGCATTGAGGAGGAGGCTGAACACCACTTGCATACCCACTATGTCTGCAGCACTTCCGAGGAAAGTTGGTTGGCCAGCTGCTCTTCTGTACTGTTTTTGCTGAGTTGTTCCAGCCGGCATCTCCCGTGCAGAAGTTTGTGCCTCCCTATGTGGTACATTTCTAGCACTTCTGCTGCATTTTCACCCAGATGGGGAAGGGAAGGTTTAAACATCTGGCTCAGAGTTATCATGGCATTGGGCCTTGCCCATAAACTGAGCACCAGGGTATTATGCTCAGTCACCTACTGAACAAGTCCCTCTAGAATAGTGTGTTTTATTTAAGGAAAATCTGAATGGGTGCTATTATAGAACATACTGTGGAGAACCAGCCAGCTTGGTCCCATTCCTGAGGGCAGAGATGTGGGATTCTCATATAGCTTTCATATTGATTCTCGCCCCTCACTAGATTAATGGCCAACAGTGTTTCTTCTGTTCTCTGTTCTTTTGCACTACACCCACACAAGCCTTTTAGATCAGAAGCCCTCTTGGGCAGTGTTCTCCTTCTTTGTTTGCTTCACTCCGCTGTAAAGGGCCACCTACGCTGGTGATTCTATGCAAGTTACATGCACAAAAAGCTATCCTTAAAAAAAAAAAAACATATTTAGGTTACAGCAAAGCACTTAAAAGCTTGGCAAGATCAGAATTCAAGTTCCCCCTGTGCAACCTTAAATTGGCTTCCTTGTGTGAACGCTTTGGAATGCAGCCTTCAATTACATGCATGCACATTGTGCCCCCACCTCCACTCGTCATCCCCCCTCTCCCAAGCAGCTCCTTGCAGACTGGAAGGCTGGTGGTGATTTCCCACATTTTTCTCCTTTAAAGGAGAAAATTACATTTTTCTGTGGGAAATGGAAAACCTGGATCCCTG